AAAGACTTTTTGGCTGGATATAAGATTTTAAAACTTGGTAAGATGGACAGTTTTTGCAGTGCGCCTTTACTTTTAAAAATATTTCTGTATTTATTTCAGATTTAGTCAGTCATACACTTAGTTCTTATTAGTGTTTAAAAGAGGACATGTTAAAACTCTGTTTAGTTGAAGTTAAACATGAAACATCAAAGTTCATTTCTGGCCTGTCAAGGGCCACCATAACGCTCATGTGGCCCTCAGTGAAAATGAGTTTGACACCCCTGTTCTAAGGGAACCATGCATTTCATTTATTTTTTTATTTTTTTAATTTGTCAGTTTCAAGTTGTTTAGTTTTTTAACCAAACGGTGCCAACTAATTTATCTACATCTGTGGTTTGTTTTGTTTCTTTCTAACTTCAGCACTATTAATGCAACAGTCTGATAAGAATCTTGTCTCGCTTTGTTGCACTTTATTTTTTWWTTTTTTTTCTCAACAGGCCGGTAGGTTTGGCCAGCTGACATATATTCGAGTGTATCAGGGCTGCCTGAAGAAAGGAGAGAGCATCTACAACACGCGCACAAGCAAAAGGGTCAGAATTCAAAGGCTGGTGCGTCTCCACGCTGATCAGATGGAGGTGAGAACAAAGTCAGCYTTTTCCATTTGTAGTTTGAAGCTGCAGAGGAGCATGACTGGTCAGAACGCTGGAGTTCCTGTTTTAGCATTAGTCAAGTGTGCAGATAAGAACCACATCCCCTGAGAGAAAACAAAAAACAAAACATGTTTCCATTCGTTTTGTGTTACARAACTCTTGAAGCATTTTCAGTCAAATCTGGTTGTTTTTTTATTTGTTTTTGTTCAGGATGTGAACGAGGTCTACGCAGGAGATATCTGTGCGTTATTTGGGATCGACTGCGCCAGCGGAGACACTTTTTCATCCAAGACGAGCATGAACCTCTCCATGGTGGGAAACTGAAACATCTTCTCTGGACAAATTTCCAACGCACTAGCAGGTTTTCTTTTTGGATTCTCATTTGTTGTCCTTTCAATCCAACAGGAGTCCATTCACGTCCCAGAGCCGGTCATTTCCATGGCAATGAAGCCAGCTAATAAAGTAAAATKATTTTTTATTCTGTTCTTCTTAAAACTACTTGAGTTCATCCTTCAACTCTGCTCTAATCGCTTCCTGTGTTCACCCAGAACGACATAGACAAATTCTCCAAAGGCCTGAACCGCTTCACCAGGGAGGACCCGACGTTCCAGGTCCATTTTGACAATGAGAGCAAAGAAACCATCGCCTCAGGCATGGGAGAGCTGCATCTAGAAATCTACTCCCAGGTATGCGGGTGGATGCTCTGCAGGAAGAAATTAGCACATTTCTTTTTTCTAAATGTGTTTGTTGGCTAGAGAGTTTTTTTTTAAAAAAACTAATTAAAGCAACAAAGGACTCTTTGAGCAGATAATTAGACAAAACTGAGGTAAACAGGTTGTGCATGTAGGTGATTACTGAGGAACAACAGGTGGTATCATCAAAACTGAAAACAAAAACTATGCATGACCTACTTTTACAACTCCACCAACAAAGCATCAGAAACCAAAACTAAGACTAGATTGAAACAATAATGTTTTGATGATGGTTACCAAGTACAATAATCCCCTTTTCTTTGAAGAGAAAAACAATGTTAATCCTAGTAATTGTTGTGTGTGGTGCTGAGCTCAATCTGACTGCTTTGTCTCTGTTTCCTGAAACTGAGACAAACAAAAACAAAAAAACAGATAAATGTCAAACGTTTTTACTTGTTAATTTCTGTCCAATTAATCGACTCGCTCTGTTCTGATTCGTTGCTTCAGAGGATGGAAAGGGAGTATGGCTGTCCCTGTCTGATGGGGAAACCCAAAGTAGCTTTCAGAGAAACCATCACCGGTCCTGTAGAGTAAGTCCACTTCTCCTCCCGACACAAAAWCACACACACACAKAKAKYAAGTTCAACTAGCACATCAATAACCTTTGGTAAAATTTATTGAGTATAAATTTAAGATATCTTTGGTTGTGAGAGTATAAGAAGTTGTAAACAGAGTTTGGTGAAAGCCAGCAGGTTAGGTTTTAACCATTACGGCGAGGCTGCTGCTCCATCTGCAGCACTTTAACACCCTCTGCAGGAGACCAGGTGAACAGCAGCTTCCATCGAGGGATTTCCTGCATCAGAAGTATCATTATAACCTAAAATATCTTTAAAACTTTACATCAAATAGTTAAACAGGTGCTTTAAAGTTTTCTCTCTAATGCTCATTTAGAAAAAACAAATGATCACCATAGTCTTTTATCAAATATATACTGAAATATGAACAATTACACTTTTTTTAAATTTTATTAATCGACATTGTTGCTAATTATTTAATCCTATTTTGACCCTGTGAATAAATTTAAAGGTGTCTTTTGCTTAAAATGTAAACATAGCTGCACAAACCAAAGAGGTGTTTACCTGAGACACAATGTCATGCAGCAGGATGAGACTGTCAAACTTCAGCTGGTTATTCTCAGTMGGCTGCAAAAAAGCAAAAGGAGTTTGGTTAAATTATTGTTTTCTGTGGAGTGTTTACYTTACATTACAAGCACATTTAGCTTGTTTTTATATATAATAATAAATAATCCTGAGACGATCACATGTCATAATACATAAGACAGCTTTTCAAAATTTCACTTTAGTCTGTTATCAGGTTGCACAGATTAAATATAAGACGTCAGGCAAGGAGCACGCACCAGCTGTGTGAGGCTGGCCACCTGAGCCATGTTGTACAAGGTGTTTTCTGTGGATTCACTCAGCATAATGAAGCTGGAGGCCGCAATGCAAAGGTACCAGAAAGGTTCCATGTCAGGATCCATGTTACCCTGACTGTCTGAAAGATGTTTGCACACGTGAAGCATTGAAATGGTCTTTTTGAAACTGACTGTGTTTGTTRATGGGCAGTAGTTTGTACCTACCAGGTAAATATTGCACCGACAGCAGGGGGTCCTTTGCCTTGTACTTCTGGTAGAGGGCCTCTTCTTTAGCTTTAGTYTTGATCTTAAGGAGCTCCTTCAAGCCTAACACCTGGACTTGGGGTGGGGATTGTTTTCCTCCCCTCTGGAAGAAAACCTCTGCAGAACATTTCTCTGTTGCCTGGAGAAGTTTAGGACATAAAAAGGGAAAGTCAGGTGTAAGACGTAGACCAGAAGTGCCTAATCCTGATCCTTGAGGGCCAGTACACTACATGTTCTAGATCAGGGATCATCAGTTACGGCCCTCGAGATCGGCAGCCCTGCAMGTTTAACTTTTTTCCCTGCTCCAACACACCTGATTCAGTCAGTGAATTATCTCTTCCAAGTTCTGCAGAAGCCTGATAATCATCTATTCATTCAAATCAGGTGTGTTGAAGCAGAGAAACAAGTTAAACATGCAGGGCTGCGGCCCTCGAGGACAGGAATTGATGACCCCTGATGTTCTTCTGCTTTGACACACCTGATATGAACGAATGAGTGATTGCATGCTGCTGGCCAGGAAAACAACTAAAACCAGCTGGACAGCAGGCCTGAAGGACCAGGACTGAGCATTACTGAGCTGAGCTAAGATAAAAGTGAGCCGGTTTGTTCTTGTCACACCTGCTTGCTCTAAAGCCAGAGATTACTACTGTTTAAACTAAAAGTCATACCAGAGAGATTTACTCATTGAATCTTTTCATAAGGACTGTGTTAGCTCAAGGTTAGAAACTCTTATACAACCTGAGAGAGAATTAAGTCTTTTTTTTATTAATTAAAGAGTAAGGCAACAAAAGAGGTTAAATTCTTAAAGGAAATCTGTGTTTTTGGTCATGTTTTAGTGCTTCGGTATCTGAACAGGAGCTGTGAATGATGTTCAACAATAAAGCTGTCTTTTTAAAGTATAATCATAACTCATTCATAATAGGTCTCAGTTGTGCAATAACAAAATAATTTTAAATGTCCTACATCAGTGGGGATCTCCTGCACTGACAGCTTCAGCTGATATTTTCTTCCAGAGTCTCCAACCTCCTATAAAAGAAAACCAGAAGTTAAATCTTGAAACTTGTCATTTTCTTTGGAAGTTTGTGAACACTGAAGTGAAGCTGACCTCTACAGTCGCACTGTAGACGGTCTGCAGTCCGAACAGCTTGTAAGGAGAGCCGTAGCGGGTGTTCAGGTAGATGAACACCACCTGGGCAGCCCTCCGAGCTTCATAATAATTTGGGTTCAGCTGCCGTTTTGCCATCGCCGGCTTAGCCCTTGTCACTGCTGATACTGGCTTCTGCACTCAGAGACAAGGAGAATCAGAAGAAAAGCGAGCAGTCCTGTGAGGACTTTGACCCTCAGGTTTCAGCTGGGTTGAGCTGCTTTCTTTACATGAAACAGATTACCCAAGCAATGTGGAAAATAAAGCAAATATCTCAGAACAGGAAGATAAATGGACAAGTGTAAAAAAAGAAACAGTTAAACTGAAAAGCTTGCCTTTTGCTGCAGAGCTGAATGTTTTCAGTGTTCAGTCCTTCGACTCAGCTGCTTCATGTCAACGTTCTACTTCCTGATGTGGCTCAGAGGTCTACGCCTTTTTAAAGAGACAGCGCACTTTTTCCCTTTTTTACATAAGCAACACTTCTTTGAAGTGGGATTCGGTGGGAAAGTTAGCATTGTCTCACATGTTGTAGATAGCTATTCAAACAACCTCATTTTGGAGAAACAGTTTTAATCCTGACCGTACTGATGAGCTAATAGCTAGTCTGAGTGGAGCCAGGACTAAATATGCTGCCATCATAAAACACCACCAATCTCTAAAATGTCAGAGTGGTTGTGTAAAAGTAGCAAAAGGTTCACTTTTATTTAAAGAAAGAAAAACACTGGCTAAAAATCATGTAGTAAAGGGCTAGTGAAAAACTAAAGAAAGCATTACATTAGCTAAAAGCCAAATGTAGCAAGGGGCTAGCTTAAAGCTAAATATTACAATAGGCCAGCTTAAAGCTAAATGTAACAAAAAGTTAGCTATGTTTTCACCACTTTGAATATTTCTCTTTCAAATTGTGTACAATCCCACCAACTCCCTCCTTGTTTTCAGGTTTGACTACACTCATAAAAAACAGACTGGCGGTGCAGGGCAGTACGGTAACGTTATCGGGGTCCTTGAGCCTCTGGACCCYGAGTTCTACACCACCGTGGAATTTGAAGACAGGACTGTTGGAAACAACGTGCCGAAGCAGTTTGTGCCGGCTGTTGAAAAGGTAGAAGCAGCCCATCATGCCTTCATTACCAGTTCTATGTACTCAGCATCTTCATTTCTTTTTGTTCTTTCGTTTCCTTGCCTGTCATCCCACAGGGCTTCAGGGAAGCCTGTGAGAAGGGAATCCTCAGCGGATACAAGGTCTCAGGGCTCCGATTCGTCCTGCAGGACGGAGCGCATCACATTGTCGACTCAAATGAAATCGCTTTCATCCGCGCAGGAGAAGGTGCTGTGAAGCAAGGTGAGCAAGTTACCGACCTCCTGACTGTTCACTGCCAAAGACAAGAAGGGCGATGATGTTTGTTTTTCTCAGTTTGTGAGCGCGTTTCTCTGTTACCAAATTATCTCATGAACCACGGGACAAACATTAAGGCAACCTGTAGAAATGAATCATTAAAAGCACATTAACTAAAGATGGCCGCCACAACTAACATAAAAAGGACTGTGGAAAGCTGCATGGATGTTAACGCTTGTTGCTTTCTCCACAGCGATGGCGAATGCCAGCTGTGTCATTCTGGAGCCAATCATGTCTGTGGAAGTCGTTGCGCCTCACGAGTTCCTAGGAGCGATCATCGCTAGCATGAACCGCCGTCACGGCGTCATCACGGCACAGGATGGCGACGACGCATATTTCACTTTATACGTCGATGTGAGTCCACCTTTTTTACTGCAGCTCGAGACTACAAGTCTGTTGGCCTTAAAGTATTAAAATCTTAACGTTTCCTCCAACAGGTCCCACTAAACGACATGTTCGGCTACTCCACAGAACTACGCTCCTCCACTGAAGTAAGTGTCAAAAAACAGATTAAATCGTTAAGATTGTAGATTTTAAAAATGTGTTCAACTTATCGCCTGTTGCCATGAGAGGCAGGTGATTGTGTCTTTGTCACTGCCTGTGTGCAAAACTGATTGTTAGCCTGTTTCTTCAATTCACTTCAGTTCAAAAATTTTATTCATTTCATTAAAAAATAACTATATACATTAAAAAAACAAAGAAAATACACAAATCAAAATAAAATGAAAGGTAGCAGAAGAAGAATAAATCTTATAATGTCTGCCCCTTTAATCCTCAGAATATATTCAAACAAAACATAATTGTACAAAACAATACAAATAAAAATAAAAACATCAACTCAAACAACAATTCATATAGCCTCACATTTTACTTTCCCATGTACCTTCAAAAAACTAGCTTTTATCTGTCTCTTAAATACGGACATAGATCTGGCATTTTTAAGATAATCCTCCAGACCATTCCATAATCCTATACCCTGGATTAAAGTACATCTTTCTCTCAAGCAAGTACGAAAATATGGCTTCAAACATTTCCATCCCCTTATGAAAATAACAACTGTCTCTCTAACAAAATTTGCCTGAATGTTGGAAGGTAATACGTTTCTGTGAGCCTTGTACATAAACAGTAAAATATTATAGTCAACTAAATCATAGAGTTTTCAAAGAATTAAGAAGTTTCACTAAACTGTTCCACAAAATGGCCGCTCAGACCAGTTCGTCTCAAGCTCAGTTCAGCGATTCTTTTTGCCTCGTCTTCTCTGATAACTGTTGGTCACAGAGACCAGATATCGTCACTTCATCACGTTACGGAGCTGTGGCAACCGTTTCGGCTCTGTTACTACCTCACTTTGTATCACAAAGGCTCACCGTGGTTGGGTTGACCTTCCATTGCCGCCTCGGCCCATTCAGAGGTCACACTGAGGTGACCATAAGGCTTACAAGTCTTGCAAAAAAGCCTTTTGAGTCAACCCAATTCAACATGGCTAATCAGCTAATCAGCTTCACACACAAATGGTTTTAACTGAGCTTGGTTTTACAGATACTGCGGTAAATGTTGGTCAGGATGTGTTCTGTGGAGTGAGTCTGTAGACGTGCAGAATTTGAGCTTCCTTCATTCTTTCTGCAGGGTAAAGGAGAGTACACCATGGAGTACAGTAGATACCAGCCCTGCCTGCAGTCCACACAGGACCAACTCATACACAAGTATCTGGAGGCCACAGGACAGCTGCCTGTAAAGAAGGACAAGTGGAAGGCCTGAACCGCCTGCTGAACTGTTTATCGGACTGAAACGTCATCTCTTCATTGTCTTTGCCCTTTATCAACCAGGTCAAGGCTTAGAGGCAGATAAAACTTGGTCATTTTACTTTTATTTAGTGTTTTAAGCCCTCTCTTCATGTCTGWCCCTTAAGTAAACATGTTTATTTTCTTATTTTTGCACCATTTAAACACCACACTGCAGCCAATCTTCTAAAATAAGTACGTTTAACAAGCTTTGTGTAGCTTGTAGTGGATTTTGTGCTATGTACAGAATGGTCGTGATGTAAAGATATTCTCCTTTTAAACTGTGTTTTGCTGTTTTTTTTTATTTTTGTCATATATTCTGAGAAACAAGTTGAATACCCCACAAAGACAATCGGTTTGACTCCCACCTGTCCTGCACTGACCTCTGTCCCAGGCCGATGTCCGATCATCGCAGTCAGGCTCCCTCCGACTCCCAGGACCACAACCAGACTGACGATGCTCCTCAATCCCATGCTCCTTAGTTGTAAAGTTTAAATTTGTGAGAAAAAAGACGAAGAACTGCTCGTGTGAAGGAGCGCGGTCGAAGAAATGACCCTCCTGTCAGCGTGAGGTTGTGTAATGAAAAGGAGGGCATGCAGGGAATGCAGACGGTCCAGATCCTGATGTCTTCAGAGCACGATTTCCTTGTTTTTCTCCTGAACTGAACACGCTACTCCCCTTTATCTGCTCAGGCTCTTCATGTGTTGACTTCCTCAGAAAGAAAAAAAAATAAATCTTTGAAGAGTGATTATCCCACTGGAGCTGCAGCTGTTGTTATTCCAACAGTTTGATCCTTCACACATTTATTTTGTCTGCAGTGGAGCTGAACTTTAACTCAACATGTCAGAACAAGAACAAAAAAGAAAAAAGAAATATTTTCATTTCATTGTTTATTTGTATTGAGACAAGTGTGAAGAATTAATAACGTACACTAGGGGTGTCCCGATACCGATACCAGTATCGGTATCGGGTCCGATACCAGCATCAAGTACTCATACTCGTACTCGTAAAAGCCGGCCGATACTCTTAACCAATACTGCTTTTGTCCACTCCTGTGCTGCCCTGCAGCACAAAGGGTAAACAACAATCCATACCAGGCGGTGGCCTTAATGCACTAAGTTATTTACGACCGCACCCCCGAATAACAGAAGAAGAACAATGACGGTAGAAGAAGAAGTAACAGGTCGGCAGTTTGGAGATGATCTGCACAGAGGACACCAAACAAGCAGACTGTCTGCTGTGCTCTGCTAAACTGTTTTTTTTAATGTATGCAACAGCATTTGTTTTGCAGCATTTGTGTTGTTAATACATTCAGAGGGAGTGTGGCCTTATAAAAAAGAGCCCTGTCTGAAATAAAATAAATGGTTTCAAAAGTTATGGTGTGACATATATACCAACTTATCTACTTGTCAGAGTTTGCACTACCTTTTTTATTGTCAAACATAATATTTACCCACCAATTTTTTCTATGATAATTGCATTTCATTTTCATTCTGTTTAATATTCAACGAGTTGAACAGATAATCCACACGAACCCCGCTACTTGGTATTGGTATCGGTATCGGTGAGTACCTAAACTCAAGTACTCGTACTTGTACTCAGTCTTGAAAAAACTGGTATCGGGACACCCCTACCGTAGACTAAAACATTTATAGCCTAGTCTCATTTTCAATACTAGGATTAAACCCTGAAATTTGTTACTTTTATTCTGCTGTAGTCCTAATAAAAGGTTTAAAAATTGCATTTGAGGCAATATTTCTTGTAATTTGCCGATTTATTTAAACCTTTATTGAATTTAGTACACCATAATATACAGGTTTATATATGTAACCTGTATAGTTTATAATCTACAGCTTAATTTGTAGTGAGTGTCAGGACTGAGTATATAACAAATGACTTTGCAAAGACAACTAGATTTTTAATGTATTATTGACCCATTAAAATATTCTGCACTAATTGACAATAAAAAGATAAGAAACATCATTTAAGACATTTTTGGGAAATCTAACAGAGTCAGAGCCTAGGGCTGAAAACCACAGCTGGATGTGTTTGACCTTTGACCTCTAAGGCAACGCTGCATAAGAATTTAAGGCCTAGTTATCGCAGGGGTATGTATCAAGCAATCATCATCATCATAGTTCGATTTCAAAGACATCTTCAGTCTACTTTTCCTACTTTATTGAAGTTCAATAAAAAAAACCTGACTGCACTTCGACTTCTAAGACACAGAGCACATCTTCATCAACATATTTCTCCTCTTCTTCACAAGAGGCGCCTGCTGGACTGCAGGTGACCTGCGAGGCTCCTCAGCCCGCCCCGTCCCGCCTGTCCGCTCCAGGTGTTCTGGCAGGTTATCGATCAGCTCGTAGAGGGTGAAGATGCTGAAGCAGATTTCCTCGTAGGCCGACTTGGCGCCACACTCGAAGAGGCAAGCGAAGGCCACGGCGGGCGGCGCGCCGGGCGAGGGCGACAGCTCCAGGTAGGCCAGGTCTGAGTAGGCGCTGGGGCCCTCGTAGATCACCCAGGGGCCACGCCAGCTGTCTGGGTCGCGGGGAAACAGGCTGAGGAACACACCAAGGTCCTTACGGGCCGTGGCCCATGTAGGGTGGGAGTATACCACCCACGTGGGTGTCAGGAAGTCTGGGGGTGCAGAAAGGGGAGTTGATGCAACAGGACTACATGTCGTCTTGTCCTTGGAGTCCACATTGGACGTCCGGGGTCTGCAACGTCCGACGAGATGCTGCGGAACTTGGTAGAGATGTAAAGGGGCAGGAAACCCAACAATACTGCCGTGACAACCGTTCCGAGGCTCCACGAGCCGCTGCACCAGCTGCCCCTCCTGGAACACGGCTCCATCGTCCAGACTGAGGGCCTGCACCCTGTGACCCAGAGGGCTGCGGGCGTTGCAATACAACACGTTGGTGCCCCCCTCCTCGTCCACCGACACCATCTGACACTCCACGCTCTCCGGAGCTGGTATGGCCTCGCCGAAACGCCAGCTTCTCCCGTGGGTGTCGCTGTGGAAGCAGAAGGCCCGCGGGGTGGTCTGGCAGAGCTGTCCGAAGCACTCCTTGCACTCGATGTGGTAGGCGTAGGCGGGGATCAGCAGACGGCCCGACTTCAGCTGGATGCCGTGGCCCGGGCCGAGAGCAAAGGTGGCCCAATCTGTCAGGAGGGAGGAAACAATAACATATAGTACATAAATGTGCAAATAGGTCCTGAAATTCTGTCCTGATTTTCYGTTTTGGTGCCACCCCAGACCTTTGATGGTATCTCCAATGACCGTCTTGGTGAGGTCTGTGACTGGACTCCAGGTGTGGCCTCCGTCAGTACTGGAGATGTAGCAGAGCCGGGTCACGTTATTCCCCGTCACCAGCTGGTAGGACTCTGAGGTATGGCCCAGAACGGCAATGAAGAACAGGAAGAGTGTCTCTGTGAACTCATCAAACACCGGACATGGGTTCATGGACCGGTGACCCGGCAGGAAGGCTGTGCCCAGAACATGCATGTCCTCCCACTGCGGCAACACAACGACATATAACAAAGAGTCAGAACACTCAGATCATCTGCAGGAACTGGGACTGTATTCATTCATTTATCCAAGGAAATGGCTTAATAAACTTTAACAAATAATCTTGGATTTGCTCACTGACCTCTACGTAGTTGGTGTAGAAGGTGCCTTTCCTCATGACGAGCAGGTGGGCCTGGGAGTCAGATGGGCTGAGTCTCTCCTCACAGAAGGCCAGGAAGGTTCTGAACTTGGTCAAGTAGAGCAGAGCTGGGACTCTGTACGTCACTCCGTTCGGCTCCTTGTGGAAAAGCACCGATCTGGCTGGGAAATAAGGCGACCTCATGCTCGCTGTTGAGTTTGTGTTAGAACCTGAATCTGCAGAGAAGGAGAATCAAAATAAGCTTTAACGAAAAAAGACCAGAGCAAACCAAAGAAATAATCTATTGTTAACATTAATCATCATCTGAAGCACATTCACCCTGGTTAAACCATTATAGACTTTCAACCTCACAGTTATTTAAGAGTAACTGTAGAAAATAACAATTCAAAGACTAAAAAGTCAATTATCTTACCCACAGGAGCATAAAGGAGCGAAGTGACGAAGATCAAACTGTCAAAGAACTTCCTTCACACATTTACCAGCATATATGAATGTAGTCCTTGACAGTAACTTCTTGCTTTGACATCACTACAAAGAGTAAATAATCAACCGCACAGATCAAAAAGAAAAAAACTTACTTACAGTCCTGTATTTCTGAGAAGTGCTGCTGCTGTTTGGTGGTATCCTGTCTGTGTGAACACCTGATTAGGGGTTGACAGTGTGTTTTGTGTTTGAGTGTGTGCAGTTTGTGTGGAGTCTGAAAGCTGTAGTTTCTCTTCTCTGTTCACCATTCAGCGTGACACCGCTGTTCACTGACCCAGAAATGGACGCTCATCAGCTCCGCAGCTTTGGATGAATCAGCGGAGAGCTGCCATTGTAGGGAAAGAAGGCCGAGTGGGGGAGGTGGGGGGTTGAACAATAATATGATGTGTCCTATTTGCTTTCATTTTGCATCCTCTGTCCTCACTGCAACTACTGTACCTTCATGCCCTCCCTGACTGCATCCATATACCTCCTCTTTGTCTTTTTCCTGGCAGCCAACATCCTTCTACCAATATACCCACAGCACCTCCTGAACCARCTGTTTGAACTTTATCTTCCAGTGGTTTAACCTGTGCTGTACCTCTGATTATCCCAGTCCTAATCTAATCCATCCTTGTTACTCCAGGGGAGAACTTCAATATTTTCATCTCGGCCATTTCCAGTTCTGTCTTTTGTCTTTTTTGTCAAAGTCACGGTCTCCACAACCATACAATTGACTTTCTCTCCTTTTAACCCTTTCGTGCATAGAGGTCACTACAGTGTACAGCTGRTTAAAAGTGTTTATATATAAATATATAATATGCCTGCAGTTTTGGGCAGTGTTGCATATAATCCACTCTAGTGGTAGCTATTACATCATCCCATACAAAAAAGCCCTATTGGCTGTGTCATTGCAATAGGAAAAAATAGTCAGTGAAACCAAGATGGCTGACAGATGGGGAGAACAACCAAACACTTTGGCTATTTCAGTTTCTACCTTCCATAAAAAGATACCATTGCAGGTAAAAAAAATATGATTACATCAAGTAACAAGTAAGGTGACATATTATGTAAAGATTTTCCAAGTTTTGAGTTTATCTTTGTAGAAAATACAGATTAAACACATGTCCACTCAGTTGTACATCATTCATCACTGGCTATGTTTTAACTTCAATGCAATATCAGTTATTACCAATGTTGTTCTTGAAAATAATTAATATCCTATACAGTTTTGGTTGTAAATCAACTTTATAGTATTATAATGTAATTTGATTTTTATATATACATTTTTATACACTGCCTGGCCAAAAWAWATATATATAATACATGCTATTAGAAAGATTGCTATGAGAGAATATGCTCAGTTCAGAGACTTAGCAAGAATACATTCTGATAAAAAAAAAACGTTTACAGCCAAGATTCTATGAGAATTTATGGTTCAGAGTCGGGCTGCACGATATCAGAAAAACCTGTGATGTGTGATAACAATGTGATAACAATAAAAATATTGTGATGACGATATGACTTGCGATAAATGAATAATAAGTATGTAGTGTTGACGTTTTCTGCTCTGGGTTCTGAGCAAAAAAACTAACAAAGAAACAAAACTAATCATTTTCATTCTAGTATGAATTTTTAAAAATATCAAGAGTAATATATGAAGGGCTCCATTTGATTGGTGAAATACTTCAAGCTTCCGTTTGAGTGACTAAACTCATAAATGCAAACAGTTCATGCATTTGTTGCAATATGCATATTGCACAAGTTGTTATTGGGATGACGGTACAATTTCAATATATTGTGCAGCCCTAGTTCAGAGACTGTGACTTGGGTCACACTATCCTCCTCAGTTCAGAGAGAAAATATGTTTATTTTTAAACCTTGTTTTACATCCCTAAAGATGAATCAAAACGCCTAGTGAAAACATAATTTTATGTTTATGTTAACTTTTACGTTTATCAATAGAGCTCAAATAGAGAGGACTACAGAGTAGTGGAGGAACCACCATTCCAACAGAATACCATACTACAACTGTATAATTAAATTACAACTATACCTATATAATTACCATGTTATTACATGTATGTTTTTAACAGTACAAAACGCACTTGAGTGTACAGATAATTATTTCTTTTAAAAAATAAAGATAGAAAAAAATTCAAACCTTGTTTTACATCCCTAAGGATATATAAAAACCCCCAGTATAAAAAAAATCCTGATTGAGTTTATCAGAAATCATGCACGAAAGGGTAAAATCAAGTGCAAATCTCCACTTCTCCAGGTTCCCTTCCACCTGTTCTCACATTACAGGAGTCGCTTGAAAAGAAAATCCCAAACTTTATGGATTTTCTTGTTGAATGTTTTGGTTGTTGTGTATATTTGTATATATTAAATCTATGGTTTGCCTTAAAAATATCAGAATGATAAGTGTGACGTCACCAACCTGCGACTCGTCACCGCACGTGAACCTGCTGAAGTTTTTCCACTCTTGCTCGAGGTAGTGTAACTCTCTAACTCCGAACTCCTTGGCCCTAATTATATTTGGTCATTTTAATCGTAAAACTACATGTTTATTTTGTTATCGCCGTTCAAACGTAAACTGAAGTAGCATATTTAGCTCCCAGGCTAACGTTAGCCGCTGAGCTAACAGCTGTGTTTTGGTTGAAGCTCTCCGCTGATGTGAAGTTATTTTAAATTCAATGGAACCTCCCTGTTTTATGTGTCAGTGAATCCTAAATATAGAATAAAAAGGCTGCTGCTAAAGCTGTTTAGTTAAACTACGAAAACAAAGTAAAAACGATCACCTTTGGTGATCGTTTTTACTTTGTTTTCGTAGTTTCTTCAAAGTATTTTTTTTTACGACTCCAACTTTAAACTGATGTGATTTAAGTAAGTTTAGAGGAGTTGTAGAATGACATTCAACATTATGATGACATAAATCAAGTTTAAATATTAAGTTAATAAAATGGACACTTAGTTGTGACATCAAATTATGTATTTTTTTAAGTATGTGTAGAAAACTTTAGGTATCTTGTCTCAGGTCTGTACCACTTTCAAATAGTTTTACTTTTATATTTTTGTGGGTATTCTGAACCATATTTACTATAATAATTGTCTTTTTCTTAATATTTTTTTAAGTCAGAATGGCCAGGCGGTGGTCAGAGGGCCATTCCTCGTCTGTCCTGTGTGTCGGTGCATCTTCAGGTCCAGAGGGTCTCCTGGCTTCAGGTGCTGAGGGTGGAGAGCTGACCGTCTGGGGTCAAGACGGCGCCATCGTGGGTCGTCTCACTCTCCCCGGTGAAGAGGACGTCACCAGTGTGGCGTTCTCGCCTGCAGCTCCGGCCCAGCTGTTCGTGTCACATGGGGACGTGGCGAGCTTGCTTGACCCCAGGAACCTGAAGGGCCCGGTGGAGGATTTTCAGGGTGCAGGGGAGGAGGAGATAAACGCGTTGGCGCTGAACGAGACCGGCTCAGCCCTGGCTGTGGCTGATGACTCCGGGGCGGTGCGGATCTTGGAGCTTCCTGGTGGGAAAGTGTGCAGGACTTTACGCAGACACACAAACATCTGCTCCTCTGTGGCGTTCCGGCCCCACAGACCCAACAACCTGGTGTCTGTCGGACTGGACATGCAGGTGAGCTGAAGCAGAAGTTTTAAATACTGATCTCCTGCTGCGCCGGGGTCAGATTATGCTCCCGTTGTTGTTGCAGGTGATGCTGTGGGGTCTGCAGAAAACCCGACCTCTGTGGACCGTCAACCTCCAGGATGTGGCAGAAGAAGGAGAAACCCATCAGCAACGCCCAGGCCAGCTCTTCAACCCGCCGCTGGCCCACTGCGTCTCTGTGTCCGGCTGTGGAAACGTCTTGGGCTGCGCAGCAGAGGACGGGCGGGTGCATCTGATGCGGATCGGCGGCAGCTCTAAACTGGAGCAACACGGCGCCGTCGAGGCGCACAGCCAGGGAGCCTCTCAAGCCCACTTCATCAGTTTCCTTCCCCACCCATACTGGCTGGTCACAGGAGGAAACGACAGCCAGGTCGCTCTGTGGGACCTCAGCAAACACCCTGTGGTGGCTCCGGAGGGGAAACCCCAGGCCCCTCAGCGTCGCAAAGGAAAGAGGAAAGCGCGGACTCAGGATAAATCAAAGGAGAAAGAAGAGTCTGTGGACGAAGCGGCTGTAGAGGAGGAGAAACCTGGACCCAAACTGAGCATCAAACATGGAGACAAGGTGAACTGGTTGTGTCCCGCCGTGCTGAAAGGAGAGCAGWGTGTGATCGTCGCAGATCAGAGCGCTTGTCTCACCGTCTACCCTCTGACTCAAACATAGATTTAAATACATGTACACTATCATTTTTCTTTCAAACACTCCAGTGTTTGTTGTGGTTTGAGATTCATCACTGGAAGACTTGGCCTGATTAAAATCCTACTGGTTTTACAGAAAGACAAGCTTCTCATAAATGTGATTCATCTGAGACTTTACACATTGTTTAACAACAACAACAAAAAAAAAACTATTTAGCATGTGTGGTTTTTTTAAAATGCCATCCTTTGAAATCATTTTAGATTAATTACATTTGTCTAAACTGTTTTCTGGTCTGCAAAACAACCACATCTGACAAAAGAAAAACTCGTTTCTTTTTTTAACCAAGTTGACAGAACTTTTTATAGGGTGATATAAAACGTCTCAAAGCAGATGTCAAACAAAAACTGCAGCTAAGATAACATCTGAAAATAGTCTGTTTTTTTAAAGTTTCTTAAAGAAGCTCGATTCACATGCAAACTATCACTACTGTAATAAAGTTGTACATTCGTTTCAGAAGAACTAAAAAAAAAAAAAACAAATCTGGAAACAACTAAATGCTTGTGAATGAAATCCAGAATATAAAGGCACAACGAAAACAATCCAAGTTAACAAATGAAATGCTTTTCATGCTTATTTTCACGTTTCACAAAAGCTTAAATTAAATCTGTTGAAACTCTGGAACATAGCTTCTTTTGGATAAACTTCCTGCTATGCAATTCCTGAACAAACCAAACAAAGCTTTAAGTCTTAAACTGAACAAGCTGGATCATTTCTCAGCGTTGCAGAAGAACCTGATATCTTCCTCCATTCAAATGGAGTCGACGGGTCGAGGTTAAACCCGTCACTCCTCGTGTGATTTTCAGAGACCTTGTCCTGATTTGAGGTTTGTGTCTCGTACAGAAACCTTGATTGTTTCGAGATAATTTTTTTTTTTACAGCTTAGCCAGGCTCTTCTCCAGGCTCTTGATGTCTGCCTCCCCCTCTTCGCCCTTGGCGCCACGAGCGCTGCACTCCAGGAACTCCACCCTCATGGGCAGCTGGCTGAACTCAAAATCCTTCCCCTTCTTCCCCAGAAACACGCTGCCACCCACGGAGCCGTCCTGAGCGCTCAGTGCTGCCGAGCGAGTCACTCTCAAGGTGTTTCTGTGAGAGTACGGAGGAACAAAACTATGTTTACGTCTCTTCATTTCTCTCTGCAAACATCTCAACAAAAATAAGTGGGTTTGCATCCATACAGCAGGACAATTGAAGTGGTTTATAATGAATAATGCTTTGGCTCAAAACATCTGCTGGTCCAGAACAATGAATAAAGTTGAAAATATTTTGTGTACAGAACGAAGCAAATACAATTTACTTACAATTCCTTTTCCAGCTGCTGTTGAATCAGTTTAGCGGACTTTGCCATGGCCATGTCTGGCAGAAAGAAAAGCTCAGTAAATAACAACGACCGTGTTACGGATACACAGCGCAGGCTGAAAATAAACACAGTTTCACCTTGTTTGTTGCACGCCACCAGAAGAGTGGGAGCATTTCTGGAGATCACCGCATCCGTCAACAACATGTACAGAAACTCTGCAACATCTCGCACTTCCTTTTGGAAGATGGCGCTGTCCACTACAAACACAATTGATCTGGATACGAGATATAAAGGTTGTTCAAGCAATGAGAAAGATCCAAACAGGAAATARTCATTTATATCAAAAATGTTAAGTACATTTTTTTATTGTGAGAGTAAGAGAATAACAATTAAAACACATCTGCATACAAGAGGTTGCCCTGTTCTCACCTGGCTGCGGACTTGAACTTCTCCAAATACAGAGAGCGGAGACTGTCGTGTCCTGGCAGGTCTGTCAGAGTCCAGGTGCTGCCCTGAAAGCAAAGAGCTTTGAGTTGCAATCAGCATCAAATTATCAGTTTTTAAGTTTTATCCTAATGACTTACCCTGTCATTTTTAGCTTTATAAGGAGCACTGCTGTCAGTGATGGATGTCTGCGTCCGTTTGTACTTCCCTGAGAGGAGCTGCAAAAACACAAAGTTTAGATTTAATAGCGAGGAAGAGAAGGAATCATGCATTTGTTGCAGTACAACGTGGCCACCATACTGTAACTTACCCTGATGAACAGAAGGGTTTTGCCAGAGTCACACAGCCCCACTAACAACACAGCGCTGCGGACAGTCTTACTGGTCAGGAAGTACTTTAAAAATACTAAACAGAAAAATAAAAAGACAGTCACTAACCAATGAAAGTGGTTGTTTATTAGCCAGAACTAAAGTTTGAATGACTTCCTGGGTTGTGCAGCTGAAAACTGTTCACTCTTACTTTAGCTTAGCAGTTAGTTTCTTCAATAGCAATTTAAACAAAAAAGAAAATTAAATACCAAATGTAAATGCTTGTTAAGTAAACCCGGCTGCACTGACAGTCTAAACTAGCCCTGCTAAGCTACATGCTAAGCTAACGTGTGCAGTGTTCTTACCGCAGGTGATGACGACCACCGCTAACGCTACGATAACTCCGATAAGAACAACCGGGTCTTGGCCTTCAAATTGCTGCCGAAAAGACTCGATGTATGGCTCAAATGGGTTTTCCGTCATTTCTTCGTCTGCTTTCTGTCCCATGTTGCTTCTGGTGCTGTGTCCGTCCAAGCTAATCTGACATGGGACACGTCTCCCTTCGATCTGTCCGGAGCGGACAGGAGGGGGCGCTGTGGAGCCGCCGCAGCTGCACTGAGAGCAGCAGAACAAGAGAATGACGGGTTGATTTGTTGATTTCACTAAGAAAATGGTGTAGGCCTAATGTTAAAAATAAAGAATGAAAATATTTATTACTTTAGGAATATGATCTTATTAAACAAAAATTATAACAAATAGATACACTAGGCGAGCATATTCTTAAAAGTTTCATAGTAAACAAGCTTATTCTTGATGCATTGCTATTTTCTTCTGGGACCTGGGGGACTTGGGGAGAGTTGGTTGAGAAATTAATCTAATGATCATGTCATAACTGAACATTTCTATATCCTAAATATGGTACAATAAATACAATATAAAGTCGTTCAGATGAAACTGATTTAAAGTGTGCAGGAAGTTGAATTAATGTTAATAAATACTGACCCAAAATAAAGGTAATTTTATTTCTCTTTTTTATTATTATTTTTATTATTTTTTGTTTTGAGAGCGATGGTTGCGTTTAATATAAATATTACCAGAAAAAATTAAAAGGAAAAACCTTAATATTAGCAAAAGTATGAAAACTAATTTTATATATTCACAGTCCTTAAAACGTCTCCTTTAGTTCAGAGTTTTGGATGTTAAACTTAATCTAAAGCAAAGCCTTTTTTAAACCATTAAATAATTTATAGCTATGTGGGCTACTTCCAGTTAGCTTTATTTTGAAACGGATGAGAGTTCAGCAAAGACAAAACCTGTTTTAGCTTTTAAGGTTGTCATGAAAAAAAAAATAAAAAGCAGAAAAATAAAGACAAAATAAATTTAAAGTGCTGAGAGGTTGACTCCACCGTTTGTCATTATTCTCATTAACGTCTATAAAAAAACTGTGTTGTTGTTGTTGTTATTTTCCTGTAGAAACCAGACGCACTTCTACGCGCGTCTCCAACCCCCCGCAGGCAGCGCGCATTTTACGCACGCTTTTTACGCACGCTGGATATTTGACTCCTCGGTTCTCCGCGCAGTGTCCAAACCCCCTGAGTTCTCCTGCAGAACGGAGAGGGGTGTGTGTGTCCCTAAAGCCGGGCTCTTCAGTGGGGGGGCTGCTTGTTTCTGGTCGGAACACGAACTGACAGACTCCCACTGATGGATTTAGCGGGCTTTGCTCAGAGCGCCTCTCTTAGTTAAAAGTACTGGAGAGTTTTCTTCTAAAASAAGGTTTACTTGAAAAAAAACTTTTTATTTTGTATTCCTTTTGAATACCTCCATCAGGGATCATTTGAACAGGGAGGATGTCTTTGTCTTACCTCTACGCGCTGTGCATGTGGATGAGTTTAGTGTTTCCCTCGCTCGGAACCGGGTTTGTTTATCACTTTCCAAGCATCAGTCTGCAGCCGCAGAGCAGCAACACAGGTCCGCCTGGGTCAGGGTCCAGGAACCAGCTGAGGTAAATACAAACAAACAAAAAAGAGGAATATGATAGTTTTGCACGTATGCGTTAACTTTGTTACTGTTTATCCTTCCACCTATTTTTATTTGGCGTTTTTTTTTCTTCTTCCAGGAACTGGTGTCAGTACACGGTCCCCAGGACGGTACTCTGTAAAGTCCACAATGGAACAGAGACCTCGGTGCAGAGAGTGTTGGGCTGCCGGTGGCCCGGACCATGTGCCAAAGTCATCAGGTACCTCCCTCCATACATCCTCCAGCCCAAAGCTTTTCTCCTACATCAGCTGTAGTTTCTTCAAGCTTAGGAAGTTTTGCACATATGTTACATTTACTGTTCAAAGTATTCAGATAAACTGTCAGAATCCATTTCAGACATTCTGTGATACACATGTTAATTAAAGCAGCTAAAAGGTTCTGGAAGACTTCTGTCCTTGAGATTAAACAGAACTGTTCAGAAATATTATCTCATTAATAGAACTTACTGCTTTCTCATTCATGAGGTAGTATCTCAAATTATATAAGATACTAATCATATACTTGTTTATTATACTATGTTATTATGGAATAGTATTTCCTAATTACTATATTAATACTAATATATTGTCTAACTTGCTAAATATGTTATACTATCTGAAAAACTAAACATAATTCTGAAATAATAATAATAATTAAATACTGTACAATATTTGTGTACTTGTTAAATTACACTATGCCATACTTTACTGTACTATACTCTACTATGCTATGCTATACCTACCAGTATTACATATTTACTTTACTATTATATACTATTTTAATGCTAAGTATAGTAATATTTAGTATACATTGTGCCACAATACTGTACTATAACACTACACTGTACTATGCTATACTATATTGAACTATACGGTACTATACTATATGCTATACTGTGCTGTACTATGCTATGCTTTGCAGTCGTACTAGTACTGAAGGCTTTATATTCTCATCATTATGATACCAAGTCATAAGGATAAAAATATATTTAGTAATTATACCATACTAATACTTAGTGTATATACAAGTACTTAGTATATGTATATATTTTGTATACTAATGGTAAAAACAGTCATTTATAAAAGGCTTATTTTTAGAATAAAGTAATGCTCATGTTGTTTAGCTGCTTTTAGGATCAGTCAAATAAAGGAAGGTGAGGTCATCTGGATCTCTTTTGTTTCCTCTCTTTCTTTTCTAAATTTTGGTCTCTCTGTTTGTGCACTCTGATCAAAAGTTAAAATAAATATTTACCACTTTGATCACATCAAGGCATTTTTCTGTTTCTGTGTGGCTGCAGTGCTGCAGAAACAACAACCTTTCCCCTGTTTGTTTCTCCAGCTACAGGTCTGTTATCAAGCCGCTGTTCAGGATTACCTACAAGCAGGTCACCTCGCTGGAGTGGAGATGCTGCCCTGGATTTGTGGGAGACGAATGTCGTGAAGGTAAGTTTTGATTTCCTGCTCGTGTGAAGGAGTCACCAGAGACGACTTTTCTCAGGCACTGTGTGTTTAAACCGAACTCATCTGGGCCGTTTTAGCAGAACCAGGCAGCTTTTACCCACATCAGTGGCCTTTTTGTCATGTTTGGTGGTGTGTATGCGGATAGTTTGCTAATCACCCTGCTGTATACTGTGAAGCCTTTTGATACGGTTGTAAAGTTGGGCTGAATAAAGACAGAAAGTCTGGATTTGATTACTTTATGAGAACTTGCAGGAATAAGAAAGGCAGCAGTTGAAAAGGATTTAGAGTTCTGTGGTTTGGTACCTTCATTCATTTCTGTCTGGAAGGATGATTACAATCACAGTGTGTCTGTTGTGCGCACATGTACACTTTACAGCACACAGTCAGTTTTGCCTGCCTCTTCATGGCTCAAACTGCCCAAAAGGTTGAGTGAAAATAGCTCCAGGGGAACGTCCAGAAGGGCAGCTTGTAAAGTGCACGGCCGCTCTGCTCCTGGATACCGCAGACCGCAGACTCTGAACTCAAAAAAAAAAAAGGCCTAAAGGGGTCGAGCCGCATCGGTCAAGCCTACTTTTTTTTGTCATCATATAATATGTTTTAAACATCAGGGAGGCTTGTAAAGAGCCTGACTGAATTTATTTAAAATGCACGTCTGTGTGAACTGTTCCCGTTAAAGTTAATTTGTGCAGGCTATAGCTTGGAGCAATGGCTTCATTAAAGAAAACTGACCTATAGTCTGATATGTCCAACAATATGATCATATTTACCACATCTTGTTTTGTTTTTTTGTCTTGGGATTATTCGTTGTGGCATTAAAGAGAAAAGATTTACTACAAAAACACATTTTAAAACTAAACAGACTTTACTACAAAGCATTTGGAAACATTTATTTCTCAGTTCTGGTTGTTGTTCTGAACAAAGATTGCTGGGTTCCAGAGATGGTTCGATTATGATTATAGTTTGTTTCACACCAAAGTGCTTTAAGAGTGTGAAGAAGTGATTTTTTAATGTTAGATGAAATGTGTTAGTGCGGTGAGGTAATCGTCTCCATGTGGCGACCCCAGTGGGTCGGGTTGGACTCGGTAGGAGAACTTAAAGACAGAGCGATGTCAGAGACAGTCTGCCTCCCACCGAGGGGAGGAGGCTGATGAGGTTGGAGCAGATTTAGGATCAAGGTGAAGAGAAGTGTCAAGAACTTTCTGCCCCGTGAGGTTCCAGCTGCTGGGAGTCGTCCAGATTAACGAGCCTGGCACGTCTCTCCACCCGCTCCCAGAGGTGACCAACCACCAGCTTCAGCTCAGGAACAAACTTCTTTAATGTGGTGCTTCCATACGTCTCTCACTCTTTTACTGTTTAATCTTTTTTTTTGTGTACACCTGCATTTTGCACACATTGTTGTGTGTATAATATTGAGCTAAAGTTTGAAGCCAAATCTATTTTCTCTAAATTTAGATTCTAATGAGTGATTAAGATCACAGTTTGTCTTTGAATTTTGGCTTTTTTTTTTCTTTTACTCATTTTCAGTCCAATCCTTGTTACCGATGACAAATAAGGTGTGTGCTTACAAGTAAATAAAGTAGACAAAGGAGGACAAAAAAAGTGTCAAGCTTAAAAAAAACCCCATCTACATCATGTGAACAGGATCTGATTGTTATGACGAGATGTTTCACTCAATCCTCTTTTCTACTCTTTGCCAAGTTACGTTCAGCTATTAGCATCTTTTTGGTGCTAACTGCTGCCAAACAGGTTTATAAATTATTTTGTTTCTGGAATGCATGTGGGTATATTTTATAAATTCAACCAAAAAAATTAAAAAATTAAAAAATAGGAAACTATGTGACAGATTGCTAGTAAACAAAAGCTTTCACAAAACTTCTAATTTTGTTTTTATTTTATGAGTAAAAAGGTTTCTAGTAACCTGCTACTAGACTAGCAAGTTAATAGCTGAGTAGCTAGCTAGCAAAGATTCTTATTTAATTTTTACTTTACTGTTGACCCTTTTACAGCTACTGATGAGTAAAATTGGGCATTACATACCCAAATACATTCATTGATGTTTACGGCATTCAAGATCGGTGTTTGTTTTTTTGTAAACAAAATCTTAAAAAATAAGGTTTGATTCAAGACTGAAGAGCATTATGTCCAAACCCATTTGATTCATCTTTAAAACAAATAAGATTGAGTTGAGCAATTGAGTCAAACGTTTTTAAATCAGTAATACTTTAACTTCACAGTAATTATTTAGCAGCATGCATCTGTTTTATTCACAAAGATAAAACCCCAAACCATGATAGTACCACCACTGTGTTTTACTGATTGGAAAGCTTGATTTGAGCTTTTTTATTTAAAACCACAACATTAAACATGATGTAATTTGTCCTCAAAATGTCTTTWTTTTCTTGTTTGTTTATATGTGACTAGACGCAACCAGTTCTTAAAAACTTTGAAAAGATGTGACTCTGCTCGGAGTTCAGCTTGTTCAGAATGATGTTTGAGAGTTTTTGGTTGTTTTAGTTTATTCCTGACTCCTTTGGGACTCTGTAATCACTACACATCCTGCTCTTAAGGTGATCTCTATTGGTCAAAKCTTCACCCCCGAGAGGCTAAAAACGGTCTTGAATTTCCTCCAGCTGTTCACAATCTTTCTGATTGTTTGTAACCTGAAAGGCATTATTGATTTTTTTTTCTCGTTTGTTCTTGCTAAGCTACACCTCCACACGTGTAGTAAAGCTCAAACTTGGATTTATCCATTATCCTCAGATAAAACCAGCCTCTAACTCACACCGCATTGCCATATAT